TAACTGAGGCTGGTAGGCTCATAGCTTCTTCTGTCAAAAATGCGACAAATTCTCAAATGACTCGAAGTTTGATTTGCAAATTCGTCCAGTCCACATGTCCAGTTTCTTTATAGTGGCTTCGATTTTATTTTGGACTTGAAACGCTGTCACTGATTTGCCTTGAAGACTCAAGTTCACTCCATTTAGGTGATTGAAAATATCAGAGAGGTAGGACAATTTTGCAAGCCACTCAAAATCACTGAGGCGGTCCGAAAGGGGAAATTTTGAGTCGGATAAAAAAATCCGTGCTTCGTTGCGTAATTCGAAGAGACGAGTAAGCACCCTGCCTCGTGAAAGCCATCGTACCTCAGTGTGTAAAAGAAGCTGAACATGATCACTTCTCATTTCTTCACAGAGAAGTCGAAACAAACGTGACTGAAGGGGCCTAGTCTTTATGAAATTGACTATTTTAACACGTCTGAGATCTGTGGGCATCTTCTTGGTAGCTAGTGCTTCTCGATGTAAACTGCAGTGGATGGAGCTCTTGAGCGGTGCAACTGATCTCACGCGCGCAACGACTCCGTTACGATGCCCCACCATCGCTCTTGCTCCGTCTGTGCTCAGACCCACACATTTAGACCAATCTATTCAATTTGAAACAATAAATGCATTCAAAATATCAAATATGGCTTCGGCAGTTGATTGAGTCGGCAGCGACTTACAGAAAAGGAAATCCTCTTGTAATTCTCCGTTATGTACATACCGTACATAAGCAACAAGGTTGGAAAGGTTTGCTATATCGGTCGATTCATCCAACTGTAGGGCATAAAAGGGACTCTCTCGAATGTTTTTAACCAACTTCTGAGTTATGTCATCTGCCATTTCATTTATTCTTCTCTCAACTGTATTATCTGAAAGTGGTCCTGCAGTCCCCTTCCACTGGGACCATAATTCAAATTCAAATTTATTTGTATAGCGCTTTTCACAATACACATTGTTTCAAAGCAGCTTTACAGAAAATGCATGTGTCTACATTACAATTTAGAGTGATCTGTTATCAGAAGTGAATGTGTCCAAGTAATGTTCATTTCACAAATTAACAGTTTAAGGTAATAGAATCAGTTAGCTAACATGAATTAATTTCAGGCAGAAGCTCAATAAAGGGATTATTACAAGTGTGATCATAATGATTACAATATAGAGAAATTTTGGCAGCTGTGCATGTCTATTCAAGTTGGGGTCATCTGGCGTCCTCTCAGGGGCCACATCATCTCTTCACAGGTGTTGGGTCATCACTCTACTTGCTTACTAATCCGATTGTGTCGGCCACATCTGGCATCACGAGTTAGTTTGCAGATCTGAAGTATGTGATTCAGGGTTTCTTTCGCGTGGCAGGCCCCACGACACATTAGCTCATCCGGGGACTTCTCCCTTCCTCTGGAGGCTCTTACTTTTGTATTGAGTACACCTCCTCGGAGCTGGATTCCCCTGAAGTGTAGTCTGGGGGAGACTTTACTGGGCTTGCCTACCCAGTCGTAACTCGCCGAGTGTATGTCGTCCGTTGTCATCATCCTGCCATCCGCAGAAGCTTTCATCATTTTCATCCACTCCACTTTAGCTGTTTCAGAGGATCACACCGTTTCTTTGCCAACTTTACATGGTAGATTTAACTTGCAATGCCTTGCAGAACCACGGGTTGCTGTCTTCAAGAAATAATGAAGAAATGTCTGAAGCAACCCCAAAGCCTTGGCTTCAGGTTCCTCCTGACAGGCCAGCAACGCAATACAGACAAAACTCTCAACGGAACCCTACTAGTATGACTTCAAGGGAATAACATGGAATTTCCTGCTCAGCTGAGGGACGAGAACATGAATCTAAAAAAAGAGAACGCGGATGAAAAATGAAATACTTGAAAGTAAGTACGGTACTAATAATGTATGTGTCTATATGTATGGGTGTGTGTACTGTAGGGTATCAGACCGAATCAGACAATTTAAGATTTGATCAAGAACATAGTTGAAACATGCGGAGCCGAATTCCACAGAGGCCCAAGACACAGGATGTTCGTAAATCAGATCCTGGTGCCACAAGCCTGAACCAACTAGCAGCTTTGAGTAGCTCACAGCATTTAAACAAAAGAACACTTATTGACAATTCCAAGGAGATTGTCAATTTTGGGGCAAGTAATCAAGATTAATGGTCAAAGAAATGCACACCATGACCATCACATGTAGACCAGTGATAGTAATCACATTCACAAGCTCTTCGGATTGACTTTTCCCCCACCTCGAAGACAAAGAACAGACTGAGATTCCTTACAGACCTCTTAACCTCTGGTCTTCACAGAACATGTGCACATACATCCACAGAAGGGCACAGAAACTGCCTTTCCATGCACCTAAATGACACTAAAAGGACTTGTGAGCAACTAATCATTTGTATGCATAACTCCATATCATGTATGTAACCCACACATTAGACTATCACGTTTTAATCATTTATTGTGTATGTATTTTGAGTAACTATTGAATAGTTTATAGGATTATATTCATGTTGGGTATGTATGAGTGTGAAAATTCTTGCTTGAAACGTTTCTTCCAATCAAATTGGTCAAGGCACCATTTGGGATGTGTCCAAAAGCCCAGTTTAAATACTCAGGACACCATCAAATCATTGCTTTTAGCGTCTAGCTTCTTAGCTTTAGCTTCTGGCCACTGCTTCAAGTCATCACTTTTAGCCATGCGGCTTTTTAGGCATAGCTTTGAGCTATGCTTTTTAGTCATCGCGCCCTTTTTACCCTTTTTGCCTTTTTCTAGCCGTGTTTTTCAGTCATCACTTTTTGTGCGCTCTTTGAGCGTGCTCTGGCTTACATGCCAGCTCCTCCAAAACCATGAGGAGAAACGCCACCTAGTCTCGTCAAACTTTACTTCTATTTCTTTACTTTAGTTTATTTTATTTTCCGTTGAGAGTTTCGTATTCTGAGTTAAGTTTTGCCTAACGCCGCATCTCCGAGTCCAACCTCGAGTGCCGTCTAAAACTTTAACCAGACCACAACTCCGCGTCGTCAGCCAACGCCCAACCACTGGCTTCCCAAGACTGAACTTCCAGCCAATCAGCAACCGCGGGAAACCCCCTGTTCTGCAAGGACGACAACAAAGGGAACCCCGGACACAGACAACGCAAGTACCTCCAGATACTAGCTGAACTAGTGCATTTAATATAATTTTAACCTCATTGAGGAACTCAATTCGAGGGTTAATTAAGTGATTGATGGTTGTTCAGGTCGATGCAATTGCACATATTGCTGTAAACTTGAGATTTCACATTTTCATTCTCTTAAACTAATTATTTCCTCACTTTCTCTCTTTCTGCAACTTGTGTGAATGCGTGTGTTTATGTGTTAGATTAGTTTATATGTCTTAGATTTATCCAATAAAGCTTTATTTATATTGAAAAGAGAAGTATCTTGTGTTTTGTGCTTACAAGTTAATGTCTTAAACTGCCGATCTTGTTACTGTGCTAATTAATAGTGTTTTCACTATACTTTGGATATAAATATCCATTGCAGAGTTGATGTTATACGGCTCGTTCAATGAATCGCTGGCCGTCTCAGTGATCAGCCGTAAAACAGTGATTCTGTCCAAATTCCCTTTAAAATCTTAAATGATTCCCTTTGAGCTAAATTGACCTGTTTCCCTTACAGTACTTATCTACTGTATATGTTTGTGCTTACACTTATACTGTATTTATCAAAATCTGTTCACATTTAATTTTACTTTCACAGAAATCCTACCTCTCCTTCTGGCTACAGAGCACTTTGTTGACTTTAATTTTATTTATGTATGTACATACGGTATTATTTGTTTGGGTTCAAGTGATGCTGAATATGTAAGTACTGTTTGCTGAGGACTTAGGTCTGTTCATACAGATTTGTTTTGCATTTCTGTGATGGGCTGAATAAAATGTAAACGCCCCTACATCTAAAGACTGCTAAGCACTGACAATAGAGGTGGGTCCGCCAAACTGGAAACTAGTCTCAAACACCTTGGGCCCCCCTTGTGAGGAGGTTCCGGACTGGACAGCCATCTTGTGGAGAGGCTCTGGAGTGGCGGCCATGAAGAGACGTGACTATGGGGTGGCGGCCCTCCTGTGGAGGGGCACCACATGACATAACAGAAACAGCGAACATAAACAGAAGCTCAACCATACTTGATGTGCAAGAACAAACTTCACTGGTTTTTACAGAAGCTCAAGCATGATGCGTAACACCCAAGAATGAACCCCACTGGTTCTCATACGTCAAGCAAGCATGCCATTACTGATGTGTGCGCTGATTAATGTTCATATGTGGTGGACCACCCCTTTAAAATATAGCTGTGATTGTTGTCCATTACAGTGGCAGTGAAGAGGGGATTGTTACATGTTACATGTGAATGTATTTTCTTGGACTGAAATATATGGAGGGCCAAATATATTTTTAAAATGCTTTTAAGTTTATAAACATTTTGAGGCTCCTCCTCTTTTGCCTCACAGTGCTTTGGTCCAAATGCCTGCTTTCCTCTTTTACATCACCTACACACACACACACGAGTCCGGTGAGAGAGAACAAATCAATAGTTGAGGAACTCTGGTAATTCAAAACTAGCCCAAACTATCTGCGTTTCGAGGGGGTCCCCCGGTAAAAATCGCGTTTCGGAGTCTAAAATACACGTTGTTGGCAACTCTAGACAAACATTTGTGTGTCTTTTTTTATTGCTGAAGTGTGTTGAAATGTCTTCTTCTGCGTTCTACTGTACGGACGTAAATTTACTTTCCCTTCAGCCTGAGGCTTATTCATTTCACTTTTGGTGTGGAAAAGGCTTTTATATTTGCCAAAAATAGAAATTTTTTATTTTAAAAACAAACAAGCAAGCCCTGTCCAGATTTAAAAAGTAACGCAAAAGTAACGTAACGTATTACTTTCCATAAAAAGTAACTAAGTAACGTAATTAGTTATCGACATGATGTCATAAGTCCACATTCCTGCATCTGTGATTCTTCTGAAGAAAGGTTTGTGTTTTTTTTAATAATTTAAAGTGTTTAAATCAATGCAATCTGTTCAGACAAGTTTATGGAGAACTGTGCTAATGATTAATGAATGTAACGTTATAATGTTTCTAGTTTTTGTGAGTGAACATGAGTAACAGAAAATGCATCTCATTTTGCTCCTTATGTTGAGAAGCAGTTCATCATAAACACACTGTTTGGTCATTGGCAATTATTGATGGACAAACATACATTTATTTATTTATTGAAATGCAAAGAGAACAAACAAACATTATTAATGTCAACTTAAAAACCAATCGCAACTGAATTGCCATTAAATATAATCTAAGTTTTAAATGCCAAATATAAATAAAAACAAAGTATTAAAATTCTGTATAATTTGCTTTCTATTATTATTATTATTATATTTATTTACTTATTTATTTATTCTTTTAAGTGCATTAACTCTCACTCTGACTGACTCCCTTACTAGTGTGCTGACTACTGAACTAGGGAGCTGATTGAGACACACAAAGATTTAGATTAGATTTATTATCTTTCTGTTAATTATTCTGATCTTAAACACAGAAAAACTCCTGCTGAAGCGACTGAGATCCACGTGACACGCTATTATAAAGATGGCGTTTATTAAAGACATGAAGATTGAAGAAGCATTCGGAGTCAAACATGAAGATACTGAGGAACAAACAGGTTGGTTTTCATTCTCAAAGCTGAACTCACTCATTTGATCCTTATTAAAATGTCCAACTCTACAGAAATTATGAAGTGTTGATGAAGTGGATGATCTGAATCATGCAAGATTGTAAACACTTTAATAACAGTCTAACTTGGAGAGAAATATATAAATTAGTATCATTGTCATATCTGTGAAATCTAATGATAACGTCCCTCAGTGGAAGCATAAACAATGAGAAAAGCAGAGGACCTAATACTGAGCCCTGTGGCACACCATACTTGTGTCTGATGAGACACCTCTCCAAATACAAGTGGTAGCAATCTGACAGGACCTAAACCAAGTTAATTCTTGTCCACAAACACCAACATAATTCTCAAGCTATTCAAGAGAATGTTGTGGTCTATGTTGTTGAAAGGTCTAATACCACAAGAAGAAAGATGTAACTCGTGTAAGTAATGTTTAAAGTGCTGCATTGGGGCTTAAATCCTAACTGTTTTCTGCCAAACTGAGCACGGTGAGAGGACGTTATTTTTCTAATAGTTTAGGCAGGAATGACAAATTTGGGATGGGTCTATAACAGGGTTCCTCAAATCCAGCCCTGGAGGGCCACTGTCCTGCAGAGTTTAGCTCAAACCCTGATCAAACTCACTTACCTGCAATTTTCTAGTAACTCTGAAGACCTTGATTAGTTTGTCCAGGTGTGGAACTAAAATTTGCAGGGCACTGGCCTTTCAGGGCTGGATTTGAGGAACCCTGGTCTATAATAAACCAGGTCTCTTGGGTCAAGTGATAAGGTATTTAATAACTCCTAGCTTTCATGGACTACACCACTTTTTTTTTTATTTATTTTTTTGAAATATGTTCTAAAAAAGGGAACAGTTAACAATAGTGTTGTAGAGTTGACATCCACTGGATTGTGGAGAATGCGTTAAATCTGTGTTATTCTCTTAAATCACAGCATTTATCTGCATTACTAATATTAGACGCTTATGATCAGCAGCACCGCTCATCATAACCAGCATGAAAGCATTTAAAGTACACAGCTAAACCCACTAAAAAAAGAACAAGCAATGAAATGATTACACACCGCTGGCAATATCCCATACCATTTACAGAAGTTATCACCCTGGCATCACTGCCATTTGCCAGAACAAAGACGTACATTTTTTATAATTCACAGAATATTATGACTATGAACACATAACTCACAAAGAGAGACCTACTAGAACTTGTTCTCCCAGTGACGGACAACCACCTGCACACCAAACAATTCAGGCTTGACAGCCATGCTTCTCACGGGAAGTGATGTTTCTAGAGGTGAAGCACCCCCTATGGACTTAGCAACAGTAACACAAGTGTTTACACCAGAGTCTAAGGGTGCGTTCACACTTGTAGTTCGGTTCATTTGGTCCTGGTCCGCTTAGCGTTCACATTGGCATTTTTGACAGTGAACCTAAAGACATAGTGATACGTTCACAACCTGATTGGTCGGCTTTAATGATGTATATATCGTGACGGAACTCACCGAACACCCCAAACAATAGCTGTGTTAGACTTAAAGCGGCATTTTAAGTCGAACACACCTAATGCCGTCTGCTGGACTAAGCGCGCTCATTCTTGCGTGTACATATAATTTTATTTTCACCACCTGCAAACTCACGAAGAGCTCATAAAAGGCCCGTTACCTCATCGTTGCTCCACGTTTGCCCTCTGCTCATTTTGTTTTGGTTACACCATGTCGTCAAATCATGTCATATAGCGTCGCATCTTGTCATTACTTCCTGTTTTTGGTTGGTTAAGAAGTATTTGGTCCGTGTTGCATTCATATTTCATTCAAACCGCACCAGAGTTCATTTGGAACCCATCTTTTAAAAAAACCCTATATAAAGCAGGAGAGATTTGATTTGTTTTTTTCTAAATCATTTATATAAAATAAATAAATAAAAAACCCTTGCTATGTGTACCGTGTAGACTTAACTGAGACTCGTCACCGCACCTTTTGCTCTCTTGTTGGTCTGATTGCTTCTATTGTTCTCATTTGTAGGTCGCTTTGGTTAAATGACTAAACGTAAATGTATTTTAATTATTGCTCATATATTCTGTGGAGAAACTGAGATGAAATAAGATTTATATATACACCATGATAATGATTCAATTTTAGTTGGTAGATCTTTCTGCAACCACAAACTTAATTTTTAACAACAAATTCTAAATAAGGTTGAAATATTCAACAGTTCTTTACTATCCTTTGTAATATGAAGATCAAGGGAGTATATCTATATTATTCTATTTTGAAATAAGCCAACCTTGTTAAAAAAGCACAGTGGTATTAATAGCTTTGGGAATCTGTGATTTATCCTTTGAAACAACCCTTTATCTGATCATTTGAACGTGTTTTCTGGAAGTGAACGTCGGAACAGGACTTTTATTTTGGCGAGGCGGCGTGACGTCATAAGGCGGCGCTGCGCGATTCTGCTGAAGAAAAAGGTTTGTGTTTTTCATCTTTTAAAGCGTTTAAATCAGTAAAACCCGTTCATAAAGTTTGATAGAGTACCTATACATTGATTAATTATTTTTAATGTAACGTTATAATGTGTCTAATAACGTTAATGGACAGTTTGTTGTTGTTGTTGTGTGAGAAAAGCGCATCCACTCATGAATCACAGAAAAGATGCGTCTGATTTCGCTCCCTATCTAGTGAAGCAGTTCATCAGAAACACACTGTTTAGGTAATAACTTGAAGAAGCTTTCAGAGTCAAACATGAAGATACTGAGGAACAAACAGGTTGGTTTCCTCGGTCATTCATCTCTTTATCTCTATTTTACAGAGGAAAAATACTAGGTAGGAGGGAAAATTAAGTCAATGTTTTTTGTTCTCTTGCAGATGTTTCCCCAAGAAACTTTACATTCGATCGCAAACCATTTCAGATCTTTGCAGGCTTTCTCGGGGGAACGCATTGACTAATTATTTTAGTGTTTTTTCCTCCACCATGTACTATTTACACACAACTCGTGACAAAATCACTGACGTCACCAAATAAATGAGGAAAAATAATAAATAGCCACAACAATGAAAATTATTCCTTTCTATCACTTCATTATACAGGAGTATCTGGCAAATACATTCATTTTGCAAAAAGCAAACCATGAGTGAAATGTGAGTGATTAACTGTCTATAATTGATCTTTATCAAAGCACTTTATCAAATCGGGGCTTTATTTCCAGGCACACTAATCAAATTAATTGAGTAACCAGATTTTGTGTGTGTGGTAATAAAAAATAGACCTAAGCAAAGACTTAAGCCTTTAAAATATAAACAATAATTTTATGTACTTAATGCATTATAACGATTGTCTGCAGAGGGCGGAAAACCTCCTGGGGTCGACAGCTGCCGGTGCCATCACTTTTTACAAATTTAAAAAATGTTCCTGATATCATCAAAAAGAACTTATAATGCTCTGTTATTTTTGATTGTACATATAAGTGTAATACATCCCAGATAGCAAATTGGTTGTGGGCCTTATCTGGTTGAATGTAGGCTGTTATTATGGCCCACATACCTCCACGGCCCACTCCCCTGGAATGGCCCTTAAGCTGCTTGCCTGAAGAATGCCAGAACCAGGCCTGAAGCAGACCAAAACTCACCCGCAACTCCACAGTGTCCCCAGAAATCAGCCATAACTGTAATGAGAAGCAGGTGAACGTCATTATGCACTTGCCCTGCTTACTCACCGCTGGTCTCCGACTGCTCTCTCCCGCTGCAGACCCCACTAAACCACGCCCCCCTTGCCACACTTACATCTTCTGAATGAGTCACAGCTTGAGAGGATTTTTCTCTGGGGTCTGGGTGTTTCATGATGCCACGGTGCCTGCAGTGGGTGGTTTTGTCCAAACCGCATAAACACATTTCATTACAGCAAATACACAAAATACTGTTCTTTTTAGCAACGTCATATGACCCCTTTAAATACACCCCGTCTACAGGACGCGAGCGGCGCGGTACGACACGACAAAATGCTAGGTTATGAACTCATTATAATCAGTGATGCTACACTGGATGCGGCGGCGCATTAACTCCTCGTCTGCACGTGCTCTCTTTGAAATAGGAATCGTTCCCACATTTCTTGTTAACATCTTTCATTTATCGCTGTCTCGTTTGTATTTGGTCAGTTTGGAGAAAGCCTCACCAAACCTGACCAGCCAGGTGTTTGCGATCATGAGAACTTGAAGACACTTGTACAAACGCGGATGGGTGACATGAATGGAGATGGCTCCAGATCAGTGATATAGTATTTGGTTTCCCAACAAGGTCCATCGCCCAACACAAAATTAACTTGCTGAATGCAGAATAAACTGTATTTTCCTGCGCTCAAACCTGCCAATCTAAAGGAAACGCTGTGTATGGCGTTTGAGGTAATTTGTGAATTAGCATAGACTTATAGTCTAAATAAAACAATTTGCAACTATTACTGTTATTACAGTTGTATGCAAAACATTGTATTATGGTTGTTATAGAGTGCGTGACGTCACGTGCACTACCGCCGGTGACAGTAGACAACTGCAGTGCCAACCAACCACCGCGGTGACCGTCACAGCCCTACATGTGAATATACTATTCAGCGAAATATTCCTACTTCTATTATTGTGATCTAGTGAAAGCAGGTGAAATAACTACCTTAAACAATACAATTGATTTAAATGTTTATATGGAGGCCATAAAGACACCATTCTTCACCCAGATTGCAGGCACAACCTCAACTTCTTCATTGTCAACAAAGCTGACTGTGTGGCACATGATTTCTGCAAGCAAAACACAAATGTGAATAAACAACTTATTTTAAAAATTAGGTAATATAAAGGCCAATACAGAAAAGCAATCATGACTCTTAGTTGTCATACTTGTGTAGATTGTGTCCAAGCATACCACAAAATCTCCATTTACAATACTTTTTAATTCCTATTAATTCCTTTTCCCCCAGATTCAAACATCTTATTGACTCTTTTAACAGCCCTTTTTCATGTTACTTCACTCACTGTAAGACCACATGTTTTCCGTTATGCACTGTAAATGGGGACTGAGAATAATTGTAGTACCTTTAACATAAAAACAAATGAAATCCAATGACAGAAAAGAGTTAAACACGAATAAAAAGCCAATCAAGTAAGGCACTGTAGAAGAATGGGTGAAACCTACATGTTAACGTTAGTTGAGATTTTAAAAAAGCAGAAACACGCTGTTTTCGTGCCTGTATCTTGGTGTTGGGAAGTCGTGGCCTAATGGTTAGAGAGTCGGACTCGTAACCCAAAGGTTGTGGGTTCGAGTCTCGTACCAGCAGGGATTGTAGGTGGGGGGAGTGAATGTACAGCGCTCTCTTCCACCTTCAATACCACGACTGAGGTGCCCTTGAGCAAGGCACCGAACCCCCAACTGCTCCCCGGGCGCCGCAGCATAAATGGCTGCCCACTGCTCCGGGTGTGTGTTCACGGTGTGTGTGTGTTCACTGCTGTGTGTGTGCACTTTGGATGGGATAAATGCAGAGCACTAATTCCTAGTATGGGTCACCATACTTGGCCACATGTCATGTCACTCACTCACTTTAAATGAAAATGAGCTGCTGCTCCCCACCCCCTTTTCCAGAATAGGGCGGAGCCTTCATAGCTTGTACCTCAGATACTCTGACAAAAAAAACATCTGTTTGGTTTTGATTATCATGTATATCGCACTTAAATCATGCGTTTTAAAGCCATATCAGCTTAAACTTCTGATATAGTGTCTGATAGAGTGCACAGAAAGCGGCTGTCACACGGCATGTGAGCACTAATTTTCACTTTCACACACAAGTTTGTGTTAAAAACACGTAATTTACAAAAACAAAGTCGGTTATGTGTGTGAAGTTAAACAGCTGGGAAAGAAAGTGCATATGTGTATTAAGTGACAGCAGTGTAATATACAGTACCTACTGCTGTCTACGCTGTTAATATGAGCCAAACAATAAAATAAAAGCAGAAAATCACTCACTGTTCTTGAATGAATAATTTCTGTAGTTCTAATAAGAAGACTTTTAAATGCTCTAGCATGAAGATAAACAATGTCGGACTGTTTACAGCTAACTCGGGGCGGGTCTATGCTGATACGGCGGTGTCAGTCAGCGGCAGTGGGCGGGACCTGAGCAATGTGACATCACTTTGTACAGATTCTGTGAACGGCTTGTTCTGAGACACTGCTTATGATTTATGGGGATTAAAAATAAGGAGCGGTGGATTTTCATCATTATAGGGTGGTTGTGTTCACACACTGCCAACACAAGTTTATGTTCAAACAACATGTAAAAGTGAATTTTGCATAATAGGGGCCCTTTTGTCAGTAACAACTTGAAAATTTATTAGAATATCAGACTTGCCTTGTTTTGGTTTTGTATATTAAAAACCCACTTTAATCTTTCCTGAACATGTGTTGACTCCATTCTTCTTTTTAAATCAAGGGACCTGTGGTATATTTTTTTGACCACCCACAGGATCCCAACCCAAATGTGTGCAGTGCTCTTCTGTGGGTTTTTATGAAGGGTAGTATTTGGGATGTGTCCTAAAGAAAGTTAAGAGTTAACAGTATTAAGAAGAGGTTCTGGGATTACAGGTCTAAATGTTTTCATGTCTGTTGCTTTGTGCCGTTAAACTGGTGTTCACTTGTTTTTGATTCTTTTCACCCTAGACCCGATAACGCTGAAAGAGGAGAGTCAAGAACTGAATGAAATGGAAGAGAAAAACTTCATGCCTGGTGAAGAATCATTTAGTTACTCACAGACCCATAAAACAGAAGCTAGAAATCTTAATACCCACATGACAATTCACACTGGAGAGGAGCCGTACACCTGCAAACTGTGTGGGAAGAGTTTCTCACTAAAAGGAAATCTTAAGACTCACATGAGAATTCACACTGGAGAGAAGCCATTCAAATGCTGTCAGTGTGGAAAGAGATTTACACAGAAAAAAACCCTTTCAGTCCACATGAGAATTCACACTGGAGAGAAACCTTACACCTGCAAACCATGTGGGCAGAGTTTCACTCAAAAACAAGGCCTTAAAGGCCACTTGAAAATCCACACTGGAGAGAATCTGTTCACATGCCCTCAGTGTGGAAAAAGTTTTACACAGAAAAAAAACCTTGATACCCACATGAGAAATCACGCTGGAGAGAAGCCTTACACCTGCAAACTGTGTGGGAAGAGCTTCTCACTAAACGGACAACTTAAGACTCACATGAAGATTCACACAGGAGAGAAACCGTTCACATGCTCTCAGTGTGGAAAGAGTTTTAAAGAGAAAAGAGGTCTTAATGTCCACATGAGAATTCACACTGGAGAGAAGCCGTTCATCTGCTCTCAGTGTGGAAAGAGTTTTAAACAGAAAAGAGATCTTAATGGCCACATGACAAATCACACTGGAGAAAAGCCTTACGAATGCAAACTGTGCGGGAAGAGCTTCATGCAAAAAGAAAATTTTAAGACTCACATGAGAATTCACACTGGAGAGGATCCGTTTGTTTGTGATCAGTGTGGAAAGAGCTTCAGATGTAGAGAATACCTTAATCATCACATGAGGATTCACTCAGGAGAGGACTGTTTTATATGTCATCAGTGCGAAAGGAGTTTCACAGACAGGAATCAACTTGAGAATCATGTAAAAATTCACATCGGGGAGAAGCCTTACATGTGCCATCAATGTGGAATGAGTTTCACAAACCGAGCAAACCTGGAGGATCACATGAGAATTCACTCTGGAGAGACACCTTTCACCTGCAAACTGTGTGGAAAGAGCTTCACAATTAAAGGAGACCTTAATATTCACATAAAGGTTCACTCTGGAGAGCAGCCTTACAAGTGTCATCAGTGTGAAAAGAGTTTCTCAGACAGGAATCACCTTGAGAGTCATGTAAAAGTTCACATCGGGGAGAAGCCTTTCTTGTGCCCTCACTGTGGAAAGGGCTTCATATACAGAGCAAACCTTGAGTATCACTTAAGAATTCACACTGGAGAGAAGCCTTTCACCTGCCCTCAGTGTGGAAGGAGCTTCACGGTTAAAGGAAACCTTAAGCTGCACATGAGAGTTCACACTGGAGAGAAACCTTACAAGTGTGTTCAGTGTGACACGAGTTTCACATATCACATAAGCCTGAAACAGCATTTGCAAAATAATTGTGAAAAGAATTTCTCGTTTTCCTTCGTGTGACAAGAGGTTTTGAAAAAGGTGTAATTTCAGCAACCATCTGTGCATTCACTCTGGGGAAAGACAATTTAATTGTGATCAATGCAATAAAATCAACACACTTATCCATATGCAAAGTCGTGTAAATGTGAGAGCCTGTTTGTGTTCTTAGGATGACAATAGTAAATGCATATGTAGGACGGCCGCCTCAGTGCTTGGCTCTCCAGTGTTTGTACTGTTTTTGTTTTTCCTGTTTTTTGTTTCTCAAACAAGATCAGTTTTACCAGGGATGAACTGCTGAACACTCGGCAGAACACACCACAGAATCTTCTACCGGATTTCGATTATTCGGACGTTTTGCTGAACGTTGTAGTTGGCGGAGCAGCGGCGCTGATCAAGCGCTTCAGGACGCGCAGACGGGGGAAGCGAGCAGGCGCGCTCGTGAAGCTCAGACAGCGTGGATTCAGGACGCCGTTGCGTAGCATCCATCTGGCCAATCTCCATTCTCTACCCAACAAAACGGACAAACTTCTTCTGCTCTCCCGGACAAACAAGGATTTTTCAAACTCTGCGGGGAAATCGCGCGGCGGCGGGACATGTTTTTACATCAACGAAAGGTGGTGTACAGATGTTACAGCGTTAAAGAAGATGTGCTGTCCCGATCTAGAAATGCTCTTCATTAACATTAACTCATTAACTGAGCCGTTCTATTCGCCGCGGGAGTTCCACTCGTTCATTCTCGTGAGCGTTTACATTCCTCCGCAAGCGCACGTGAGCCTGGCTTTACAGAAACTCACTGATCAGATCACAGAGACAGAGCAACAACACCCGGACTCTGTTTTAATAATTCTCGGGGACTTTAATAAAGCAAATCTCTCCCGTGAACTGCCAAAATACAGACAGCATGTTACA